CCACCGCAACCTCAAGCACAGGGCTGGACTGCACTGGATGGGAAACCAGGTCATCACAGAGAGAAGACACAAGGACACAGGGGCAGTTTAGAGACACCGGGTTTCCTAGACAGCATGTCCTTGGGCTGTGAGAGGAACCTGGAACACATGGACATGCCCATGTGACCACCTGGAGAACATGCCTTCTGAACTGGTTAAAACGATACAGTTCCTTCAGCCTGTCAGTGTAGTTCATTGCCTGAAGCCCAGGAATGTGTCTGGTTGCTGTCCACTGGACTAATTCCAGAGCAGCACTATTTTTCGTGTAATGTGGTGACCACAAGTGAACACAATACTCTAAATGAGGCCCAAGTATTCCACTGTACAATTTAAAATAACATCCCTTTCAGCTATATAACCTAGCATTCCATTCATCTTTTATTGCTTCCCCATAGTCCACATAAACAACTAACTTGGGCGGAGTGGTGGCACTGAAGCTCAGGATCTGCGCCTGTGGCTGGAAGGTTGGTGGTTCGTTTCCCGCAGCCGGCAGAGGAATCCTACTCTGTTGGGCCCCTGAGCAAGGCCCTTAACCCCAACTGCTCCAGGGGTGCCATGTGAATGGCTGACCCTGCACTCTGACCCCCAGCTTCTCTCCCTGTCTCTGTGTCTCATGGAGAGCAAGCTGGGGTCTGCGAAAAGACATATTCCTAATGCAAGAAATTCTATATGGTCAATAAAGTGATCTCATCTTATAACTCTTTTTTGATAAGTAGCCTCTTGCATTATGTATTGTGACACCATCCCATGGGGCGTTTCTTAACAGGGCCTTAAAAAATTATCAGGTCCAGGACAACAGTCACACATGTACACAGCTGCAAGGTTAAAAACACACTGCTCTCATTTCATTTTACGCAGCAGGAAGAAACAATCACCAAACAAGCCAAAGCGATAAATTAAACAAAAAGCCTGACGGTGTTCTGAGCTCCTGACTAGATGTAGTTAGATCCCTGCGTGTTGTATTGTGGGCAGCTAAGCTGTTTATTGGCCTCAAAACAAACAAAGCTGCCTGTCTCCAAACTCCAAACTGTTTCTCAGAACTACAGTCCCACCAGGAGACTTCTCAAACTTCTTCCAAACAAAGACTCTCTCGGAGACTCTTCACAACCAAGCACTTCCAAACATCTCAAACCTCTCAAAGATCTCTCGCTTCCTCCTCCCATCTCTCTGGTGAGGGTGCGCTGCAGAAGACTGTGGCAGACTGACCATCTGACAGAAGCCTTCGCTTCCCGACTTTGTATCACTCATCTGACCCACAGTTGCTTTCCCACAACGGGTCAGGTGACTGGGGGCAGCAGCAGCTCATGCCTCAGAGGTTTGTGGGTAATCTGGTCCAGACAGGGCTGCCGGCTTACTTGAACTGGCTGTGCCCTTACAGTATTTCTTTTCTTTTTTTGACTGCAGGTAACATTCTGCACTTGTCAACATTAAATGTAATCTACAGGGCAATTGATTTACTCTGTCTTTAAAGTGTGAAGAACCAGCCAATTTAACAAAGGACATAAAAACTTTAATTTTTGTATCTTCTCATCTTGTATTTTCAGTTTTTCAAAGAATGTAAGTCTTGCTCTTCAATGGCTGTTTTCAAAGGCTGTTTTTTTAGTGCCAGTTAATACAATTTTCAAAAACATTAACCTCTTTAATTTCTGCTAAATTACAGTAATGAGCTTCAAACACATGCTGGTATTAAGCCTACTACTTTACAAGGAGAACATAAGAAAGTTCACAAAAGAGAGGAGGCTAATCTGCCCACGAGTCTCTTTGGTTGCTAGCAGCTAATTGATCTGAAAAGCCTACTGTTTCACAAGATTATTACTTTTTTCACTTCTTGAGCAAACTAAAACCTGTCTGGATTTTATTAATTTAATCGCAAATCAAGATTTGTTAAACTGCAATTTGTTGATAGAAGTGTGAGTAGTTATGTTACCGGACGGCACTGCTTCACACAACAAGGATGTGCTAGGTGACTAGAGATGTGAGCATGATTACACAAAAGCCACCTAGACCCACCTCTAAAAACTACAACTGTGGTCAGCAGGTTGGGACTAAAAGAAACTAAAAAAATGAGAATTGCAGACAGAAAAGGCTTCACAAGAATTGGAAAGATACCAATCTGGAAAAAATGAAACTACACAAATACCCTACCTACATTGATACCCTTCATCAATTTTCCTACGGGATTAATAAAGTATTATCTATCTAAATAAATAGGTTGTGAATAGCTAAAAAATATGGTTAAGGGGAGCTAATAACTACAAAATGACTTTTGATCCTTAACACAGTGGCACTGGTGGCAGAGGGTGTGATTTAAGTTAAAACACTTGCTTCGGATTCGTGAGGCACATGTCAAAATTCTGATGGGCCTGAAAAAACTGACTTTTCACTTCCTGTCTTGTCAGTGGTCATACCATCTGTTGTAAACAACGAACTGTGAGAAATTAAAGTGCTGACTGCGTTTTCCATAAAAGATTTGATTACATTTTCACTCCAGGCCTCTGTTTTGGAGTCAGAATGATGTCTTAAAAAAAGCACAGTACTTTTTTTTCCAGAACATATTGGAGGTTGTTGTTTTAGTTGGCGTGTGCTTGTGATTCCATTTTTTCCAGGAATGCTGTCTTTACCCTTCAAAGGCTCCGTCTGCTTTCTAGTGCTAGGCATTATCAATTCCCTTCAGGGAAACGGCAGCAACACTGGTGATTGGCACTTCTTAGGGTTTACAAGCCTGAGAGAAGTGTCCGCAATATTGTCAATGGAACCGGCTTGCTGCTGGAGGGGAAATGAAACGATGAGAATTACAAAGACAGAGAAGAGGCTGAGGAGATACCAGAACGACATGTGACATAAAGATTCTGATTATTCATTTACATTCCAGACTCAAAAGTGTGATCTGGGAGGGGGAAAAAAAAATCTGGTTAGCAGTTTTATAACTTTCACATTATTCATTCCAAAGCCTAAAGGCATCATCTCACATATATATAAACTATAAACCTTCACAAATGGAAATTTCCTTTATGGGATTTAAAATTAGCAATGACCCAGTCTCGAACTCCAATGGCTGCCGAGCACCACAGCCATGGAGCAGCTCCAGAGGCCGAGGAAAAGGCCATCGCCGCTTGTGGTGCACTGGAGGAGGGGCACAGCCCAGCTCTGCCTGTCCACACTGCTCAGCCACTTCACCAGCAGCACGGGTTCAAGTGCATGCCAACTCAATGACTTCCCAGCCCCATCAGCCCATACAGTCTATGTAGAAGCTCTGTGCTCTCTGCCTAGAGGGGAATTTTAGCATCAGTTGCCTAGTGGCCCATTGTGAGCTTGAACCAGCAGCCCTGGGCAGAGCAGAGACTCAAAAGCCCCTAGTCCACACTCAAGCTGCGTACAGGAAGTCAATTCGACAGGCCACAAATAGCCTTGGAGTAATTTAACGCCCCATAATCTGAGAAAGATAATACTGAAATTCTGTTGTGCAGGTTTTGCAGCCTTTAACTTCACATCTTTTCAAGAGTTTAAAGATTTGGAGGGGCTAAGAAGGTCTCTGGAGCTTTCGAAACAAGGCCAGTCCATTTAACTTTACAGCCCCATCAGATTTCAACATTTAATTTCTATTTGGCACTTGAGCTCCATTTCTACCATCAAATCATAACAATCTTAACTTAAGAGCTGTATAACCTACATAACAGCTCACGAAGAAAGCAGCTGAAGTCTGCTGAGATGAAGTTTTTCACAGCAGGAACCAGATTTGGAGCTGTACTTTAGCGCCACCTGCTGGCAAAAGAGGGCACCTCAGGAGCCTGCTGAACACTGTAGCTGTTAGCTCTTGCTCCTTCAAATCTTATGTTCCTTCTTTTATTGAAAAAAAAAGGTTCTCAAAAATAGAAGCACACACGTTTCTATTAAATACTTCTTGAAATTGCACAAAAATGCCTTTCATCATAAAGACTAAACTACAATCAAAGCAAAAAATGTTTTTCTAAGATGTATGTTATTTAACTTGTCGCTGCCACTGTTCTGTGTTTATGTTTTTGGTGTTTCCTTAATGTCTTTGTATTGGAGCACACATGCAAATAAGCATCTCTCTGCACTTGTGCATATGACAAGAAACTGAACTGAACAGGGTTTTAATTGTCTTCATTGAAATAAAATAAATCAAACAGAGCTGCCATATGTACACATGCCATATGTACAGTACAGTGTCCCCGCCACTATACTGGGGCATTAGGACCCACATGGACTGCAGGGTGAGCGCCCCCTGCTGGCCCCACTAACACCTCTTCCATGTATGTTATTTAACATATATAGACCGAGGTCCTGACTCTCTGTGGTCATTAAAAATCCCAGGGCGTTTCTCGAAAAGAGTAGGGGTGTAACCCTGGCGTCCTGGCCAAATTTCCCATTAGCCCTTACCAATCATGGCCTCCTAATAATCCCCATCTCTGAACTGGCTACATTACTCAGCTCTCCTCCCCACTGAGAGCTGGTGTGTGGGGAGCGTTCTGGCGCACTATGGCTGCCGTCGCATCATCCAGGTGGGGCTGCACACTCAGGGTGGAGGGGATCCCCATTACCTGTAAAGCGCTTTGATTGGAGTGTCCAGAAAAGCGCTATATAAGTGTAAGCAATTATTATTATTATTATTATTATTATTATTATTATTATTATTATTATATGGACACTGTAAAGGCCTGTGATGTTAAAAAGACAAGCACTTTAGTACCAGCGGGACAGTGGGTCAATCTGCCAGCTGTCAGGCTGGGTTTGGGCCGAGACCAGGCTTTGCAGAGCCCAGTGGTCTTACTCTGTGGGACAGGGGAGAGACGAGCCAGCTCTGTGTCTGTACGTTCATAATGAGGGGCCGTCACCCCTTCCTGCCTGTGGCGACCGTTCTGCTCCAGCTGGAGCACAAGCCCGGCGCAGCACCAGCACCAGGACGCAGACACACAGCCCCCCCCACCCCGCTCACCCACCTGGGCCAGCAGGGCCTGGAACTGGCGCCCGGTGAGCGGCAGCAGGAAGCTCTCCACGACGCGCCGCAGCTCGCCCGGAGTGACCGCCAGCCTGCCCTCGGGGTCGCTGGCCCGGAACGCCCTCCGCAGGGCGTCCTGCCTGCCCGCCGCCCGGCGCTGCAGGGCCCGCTCCACGTCCGCCGCGGAGAGGTGCTCGTCCGGGGCCGAGGGGGCCGAGGAGCCTGCAGGGAAGCACAGCACAGTTACACACCGGGGGCGCGTGGAGCCGTGCTAATCCAGAGGACCTCTGAAGAGCAGCATAAAGCCTATCAGCCCCCTCTGAGCACCTTTGTTAAATATTTGATTTAAGAGGCTTCAGCTCTCCCCTTTTCTGAAGTGCGATGACGTCAGGATTATTTATAACTTTTTCACATTATTCCTCATCATTTTCCGTAAAACGTACTGCGTGTCGGGAGCACGGTGTGTAAAGTATTCCTGAGGTCGGCAGAATGCGAGCAACAGCACCCCGATGCTCCTCCCGACATCCTCACAGACACAGCCTCCCAGTCTCCACATCAGGGTGCACATTCCTGCACCACGAGCCGGCCCAGGTGAAACTTACTGGAGGCGGACCTGACGGAGGAAGACCGCGGTCTGGGGAGGATGACGATGCCGCGAGAAACGGGTCGCAGATCGCCCGGAGCTGGGCTGGCTGCCGGCGAACCGCTCATGGCTGAAGCACAGCCGCGCTGCTCTCCTGCAACAACGAGAACAGGGTGAACTTTAACCAGTGACAGAATGTCAAGAAGTACATGTTTGTTCCTTCACTGAATCACGCAGGATAGTTTCCAAAAACAGCACAGCTCCAGAGTACTACTGTAGCTCCACGCTCCTCGGTTCTTTTACGGTGGTTTCTGAAAAGTAATATGGTGCATCGCACAGGAGCAGGAAAGCAAAAGCAGTTTTACGGATTTCAATCTGCTCAACTGTTCAAAGTTTTTGTAAAACACCATGAAAGTAGAGTTAGCATTCAGAGAACCTAAAGGGATCCCCTAAAAGCATAACCACACACCCTGCAGCACGGTGAGCATGGGTCTTTAATACTGACAGACGTGTTAGAGCAGACACGCCAGGTGAGACTGTATTTGTGATATTGTACGTTTTGCAGTAGGTCTGTTCTCTTACTGACTGCATCACTGTCCGCTGCCTTGGGCAAACAGATCTACAGATGTTTCTGATTGCTCCTTCAAAATAATAGTCACTTTTTAATTTTTAGCTTAACCCACAAAAGAATGAATAACTGTATTCCTATTATTCATTATTTGAATAAGGAACGAGTAAAGGTTAATTCTACACTGAAAAGCACCGAGAAAAAATACCATTTCAGCTGATCAAAAGGCCCAGCAGGCGAAAAACACTGCATTTCATCTTTCTGTTTCTGAGCGTGGAATTAACCTTTACTTCACCAACACACGCTGGCACTGAAGCTCCCCACTCGTGACCCAGACTGTCACAACGGAGGCTCTTTCTGAACTTCTGTGACACCGCAGGGAGCATAAATGAAAAGAACCATCACTGTTCATTACAATGCTTTTTTCTTTAAATAAGAATAACTATGCTACACAGAAAAAGACGATGAGAAAGGTTACAAAGGAGATGAGGTCATTCAGTCCATCTGGCCCGTTTGCTAGTTAGTACCCAGTAGATTCTAGGATCTCATCCAGCTGTTTCCAGAGGGAGGCCAGGGTACTGGCTGTCCAAGACTGAAAACATTCAGTTCTTTTTGCCTGGCAGTGTAGGCAGTGTAGGCATTTTATCAAAGTCTTGAATTCAGCTGGCTGCTTCTACGGTGTTTGCTAACCCTCCTGTTTTGGTGTCATATGTGAACTTGAATAATGTACTAACTAGAGAAGAGTCTAGATCGTCGATGTTGAACATTGATGCTGGCCCAGTCCTGGACTTCAACTACTGCTTTTACAGCTGTTTGCTAGCTTGCTAGCCCTCCAGGTATGGTGTCACCTGTGAACTTGAATGATTTACTAACTAGACAAGAAACTAGATCTTAGAACTGGAAATTAGGACGAGCAGTCATCCCTCCACAGGTTTCTCTGGTAGTCCACTCATCACAGCTCCCCATGTGGGTCCCTCTGTCTCTTGCTTCTGAACTAGTTCTCTGTCCAAAGATTCGCATTTCCTTGAATTCCTACTGCCCCGCGAGGCCTAATGTTTTTAAACAAATATTGACGATCCCCTAGGATCTTATTTACATAGACCACAGAGATTCTCTAGTTCCGTTATAATCGCCATTCCCATAACTTCACATGCGATACTGGTCTACGATGGCTCGCGCCAGTTCTACTGCTCTTTGATGGATGAGTGCTACACTGGCGATTCTCTCCCCTCAACAGGTATCACCACGATCTGGAAGTTTTGTGTCAGTGCCTAATCAATACCATCCCTTGTGTCCCTCCATACAGTTGGCAGAATACCGTTGGGCCCCTACATTTGTCACGCCTGAGTTATTCTAGTATCTAAAACGCGTCTGTCTCTTCGATGCTCACGTTATTCAATACCGAACTGTGCTTTTATTTAGCTTTTCTAACTCTGAAACCGCTTGAATTTCCCGAGGCAGCTGTTTATGCAAGAACACACTTCGTGAGACCCCTCTGTAGTGCTGAAGCCCCGTGGATCCGCTGGACACGTCATCTGACACACGCGCTCGCGTGGCCGCCCCGCAGTGGGGAATTAGATACACCTGCACAGGTGACGGGGGTTGGTCCGGATCACCTGATTCTACCAGTGGGAATATTAACCGTGTCCCCTTGTTTTGAAGATCACTGCCGTACAGGGGTCTGGCCCTCGGTGAAAGTCCCAAACAAACTCGTTCACGACCTTTAAGCGTTACCAGGTACGGTACTCGCCGGTTTCAAATCTGGTCATTTTAAAAAAAACAGCTCGGGCTCGGGGGCTGTGCCTCTCGATCTCGATCTCGCTCCAGCACGGATATTTTTTGTTTTTTTCGCATAGAGCGGATCATGCACAATTTCAAGAACAGGGCCGGCGCGATTCCCAGATGCTCGTCTGCCTCCGACGCCGGTATGAGCTCCCGTCCTGCCCAGACCCCTCTCCGACCTCACCGCTGCTCACCCTGGCAGCCTGCCTCCGAGCACTCGGCCCGAACCGGCCACATTTGCTGGGAAACGTGGTGTCTACCGCCTGCTGCTGGGAGGGCTGCTCTCCACAACGGTGG